TGAACGCCTACGTTCAGCCTAAGCCCTGCACTGCTTGGCTGTTTCGGGCAGGGTCCCTATTTCATTTCTCCAGTTTTCTGAAGTTCAAAAAAACATAAAGCCTAATTCACCTCTGCTTTGAAAAGTGTACAGGCAGTCCCTGGGTTACGTACAAGATAGGGACTGTAGGTTTGTCCTTAAGTTGAATTTGTATGTAAGTCGGAACTGGTACATATTGTAGGGGAAACTCTAGCCAAACATTTCTCCAGAGCTCAGTTTTATTCTCCCACACCTCACTTCCCTCAGTCCTTTATTCTCAAGCTGAGGTGTCTGCTGAGAAAAGCCGCTCCACGTTTCCCTGGTCTGCTGGGGGGTGGGGCGCTAGCGTCGCGTCTCCCTGGTCTGCTGGGGGGAAGCAGCTAGTGCGGGGTTGCCTCACCCCGTTTGTAAGTAGGGATCTGATGTAAGTCGGATCCATGTAACCCGGGGACTGCCTGTATTTGCTTCCTCTCCCTCCTGTGTTCTCGCAACGTAACACTGGACTAAACACAGAAATGTGCAAGCCTCTGGGTTTCTAACATGAGCTGACTGCACTTTTCAGAGATCAATTGCTGACTAGCAATGGTGCAATTTTATCTACTCATCTCCGTACATGAGAGTACAGAGTCTTCCCAAAGTCTACACGTTCTCCAAGTCAGGCAGCCGTGTGAACATTCTGACTTTAGAGGCCTAAATCTTTTGCTCCAGCAACTCCATAATCAGAACAAAAGGAAAATTCCTGGTTGCTGCTAAACATTCTGTACTAGGGATGTCAGCCGTTAATCAATAAGCATCTCACTTACCGGGTGATGCTTATCGGCTACTGGTTTACCAATGGCCTGGCTCTGGCCCTCCCCTGCCCGCAGTGTGGTGGGCCCGGCCTGGCTGGAGCAGCCTGCCACTTGTGACACAGTGCAGTGGGCCCAGCCTTGCCCTCTCCTGCCCGCCCCCGTTTAAGTAGTTAACCAGTGAAACTGATTAAATGGGATTTGATATGCTTGTTCTGAACCAGAGCCATCTCTCACTGCCCTGAGGCGGGAGGCACTGGACAGTGGTCTCAGGCTAATCACATATATTTAATTTAAATCATTTAAATTTTTTCTCCGGTTTCTGCTACAGGCTGTCATCATAAGGCCTGATTCGACAAGTGCCAAACTTAGCACTGGAGGCAGCCCCGATGACTTTAGTCAGTGCTTGAGATTAGCCACGTGCCCTTGCATCCTTGGGACCCTGGTTTCCCTCCGAGTGAGTCTTAGGTACTTCCCAAGATCCAGATTGTGACATTGCCTGAGCCCCCAAGGGAACAGTGCAGGCCATACTCAGAATTGGTGCGCTGGCTTGTTCCCCCTCCAGAGCGGGTGGGTGAGACGTGATGGGGAACGGGTGGAGTTCTGGGTCCTCCCTGACAGGGTGTAGCTAACGCAGCAGAGCTGGGGCAGAAGTGTTCACAGTTGGCTGCAGATGTAGGCCAAAGCTACCACCCCAGTGGGGAGGTGATTGTGCCTCAGTCTCCCTAGAGCACAGGAGTGCCAGGGGCTCTCTAGGGCAGTGCAGCATGCAAACTCTGCCCCCTCTGTTCAGGACACTGACCAAGGGAGTAATCAAATCCTTGGGCAAGATGGGACTGAGGAAGAAAGACATAACCCTGAGAAATCTAACAGCAGGGCCAACTGGGACACCGTCGTCAATTTCCCAAGAATGGAATTGGAGAAGAACCTTCAAGCATCTTTGCTGGAGTGGACTGTATCTCCTGAGCCACTTAGTTCCAACAAAGAAGGGGGCTTATTGAGAACTAACCTGACATCATTTTATAAACATAAAGGACACTAAACATGATGCCACCTTTCCTCAGGTTATAACGCTTCATGAATTTGTAAAATAAAAACAGAAACTGACGCTTTGATCTTACTAAGGAGTCAGAGTCAATTAGAAACTGACCGACACCACTGTGAGATTGATTGCCTTGTCCTTAGTCCTGACTCTGCCCAGACACCAAGGACGCAAGGGACCACTGTGATCTTCTGATCTTACCTCTTGCATAACACAGGCCAGGGAATTGCTCCACAATAATGCCAACAGCACGTCTAGAAGGCCTAACCCCGATTACATCTCATAGTGGGGCCTGTGGAATTTAATCCCTTCACCGCTTTACATGGCTTATTGGAAGAAATTTTTAAAACATTCCTGGGCAAGAAGGTTCTGTTAAGACAGAAGAAACCTTTGGACTTTGCTCTGGATCAGGGTAAATTTTATATCCAATTACAAGAACAGAAAAGGTTTTTCTCCTAAGATGCTCAGAGCCTAACATTTCCCAGTCAACAGGAGAGGGGCCAGAGAGAGGGAAGACATGCATGATTTAAGAAAAGAACGTATCATTTTTGTCTCTGAAGTCAGGAATACCGGCGATGAGTCTGTATTTCAATAGTGCTTATTCTGGGTGACACCCACCACTAGCCTTTCAGGTACAACAAGGGAAAAGCCATCAGCAAAGACCTTGGAATAGCTTCCTATAAACATCGCGGCCGGCCTGTACGTAATGACCCCGCAAGAGATGCAGGACAGGTGACCAGACCTCATGATTCCGGCTGCTCTTGGGATGTCAGTATGTTTCCACAAAGAGGTCTGGGAATCCAGTTTTCACACAAAGGATTCCCGTCATATGCTCATGGGAGCCAGCAGCCACATGGGCCCCTGCGCAACGTGGGAGGGGGAGCCTGGCTCCATGCTCCCAGAAGAGGCAGGGCCAGGACAGCGAGCCACCAGCACTGCCCAGGCTGTGGCATGTCCCCTCCCCCCCACTGACTCCAGGCTCCACGCTCTTCAAAATGCACAAGAGCCCGAGGACTCCAGTGGCGCACTGAGCTCCAAGCAGCACTGGGGGCTGCCCAGACCCAACCTAGTCAACATGCTGGTAAATAATCTGGGAAACAGCGTCACTGGTGAGGTGGCGACATTTGCAGACAATACACAATTACTCACGATGGCTAAGTCTCAGGCAGACTGCAAAGAGCTACAAAAGGATCTCTCAAAACTGCGTGACTGGACAACAAAATGAAGATGGACACTGGAAAACATCGTCCCAGCTAGACATACAAAAAGATGGGGATTAAATTAGCTGTTACCACTCAAGAGAGAGACCTTCGAGTTATTTTGGATAGTTCTCTGAAAACAGCCACTCCGTGGGCAGCAGCAGGCAAAAGCGCAAATAGAATTGTTAGGAATCATTAAGAAAAGGCTAGAGAATGAGACAGAAAAGATTGCATTCCCTCTGTATAATCCATGGTTCGCCCACATCTTAAATAATGCATGCAGATGTGTTTGCCCCATCTCAAAAACGATATATTGAAATTTGAAAAGGTTGAGAAAAGGGCCACAACATTTATTAGGAGTATGGGACAGCTTCCGTATGAGAAAAGACTAATAAGTCTGGCACTTTTCAGCTTGGAAAAGAGACAACTAAGGATATGTCTACACTGCAGAGTTTTTTTCAGAAAAATGGCCATTTTTCCAGGAAAACTACACTTATGTACACACCGCAATTACATTCTTTTGACAGAAAGTTGAAAGAATGCAGGGATTTTTCTGATAGTTTCCTTCTACAATGAAGAAGCCTTTTTTGAAAGAGCGCTTTCGGAAAAAGGCGTGTGTGGATGGGGAAGAAGGGTTTTTTTAGAAAGAAGAGGCCACCAGGAAAAAGTACAGGTGCCCTGGTGGCCACTCCATCCATAGTCATCACAACTTAAATGCAAGATAGCATCCAATCAATGAGGACGCTATCTTTTTCAATGTGCTTTCGCTTTGTGGACATTCTCTTTTGAAAGAAGTTTTTCCAGAAGATCTCTTCCGGAAAAGCTTCATCCAAAAGAAGCCTGCAGTCTAGATGAAGCCTCAGAGGGGATATGATTGAGTTCTATAAAATCATGACTGGTATAGAGAAAGTAGAAAATGAAGTGCTGTTTGCACCTTTTTATTACACAAGAACTAGGGGGAACCAAATTAAATTAATAGGTAGCAGGTTTAAAACAAATAATAGGAAGTATTTCTTCACACAATGCTCAGTCAACCTGTGGAACTCCTTGCCAGGGGATGTTCTGAAGGAATTTTACTGGGTTCAAAAAAGAACTAAATAAATTCATGGAGGTTAGGACCACCACAGGCTATTAGCTGTAATGAGCAGGGATGGTGTCCCTAGCCTCTGTTTGCCAGAAGCTGGGAATGAATGACAGGCAAAGGATCACTTGATGATTGCCTGTTCAGTTCATTCCCCCTTGGGCACCTGCCACTGGCCACTGTCAGAAGACAGGATACTAGGCTAGATGGAACTTCGGTCTGACTCAGTTTGGCCTTTGATTGTTACGTTGATTGTTTTCTATATCCTTAGGCTTTGTGCGTTTTAACAACTGGCAGTTTTTTACTCCAGTCACACCCCACAGCTCTTGTGGTGACAATAATAATGGTGTACACTTTTGGTCATTTTCTTTTTAACCTTTTGTAGTTTTTAAAATGCAGTTAAACTTTAGGAGAAAGCCTCTGTATTGTCAGATTTAAAACCTTATAAACAGAAACATTAGAAATCTAGCAAATTTCCCACAGGTAGCAGTAATACTTATACTTTCAAGCTCTAGCCATTAGAAGCTGTGAGAATTAAAAGTTTGGATTTTTTCCCAATACGTACACTTTGTGTATTTGTTTTAAATCAAAAGCAGTAACCATACACCCATAAAAAACCCTGTTATACTATGATGGACTAACACCATTTTGCTAAGTCCATAGCTGACTGCCAGGGAGTTATTTATTGCAATTGCATTAAAATTTTTATAAAGATCTTGTCAGTGTCCCCATTAAAATGTCAGTAAAGTTGCTCCTGGTCTAGTCGATGTGTAAAGCATCCTGATTTGTGAGTTTGTTTGTGCCACTTATTGAAATGATTCTGATTTGTTTTGTTCATTTGTTTGAAGCTATGGAAGTATAATGAATCTTACAGTTTGGTGTGTGCTCAGAGGCTGCCAGTCCCTTCTGCTCTTTCTCTGTCAGTAAAGGAATCCTTCTTCCACTCCAAGCCAAAGCACCTGAAAAGAGAAAGAGAAACTCTCAACTGGAGAAAGAGAATTTCCCCCATCAGAAATTCATTTCTATACAAATGAAAGCAGCAGAAACACAAACAAATCTGCAGCTCCCACCAACAGATTTCTCTCTTCACAGGCATCACTGAGATCTTTATGACCCAGACTAACAGCAAGAACAGGAAACATTTGGAAAACCAGGAAAATACTGCTCTCTGCCATCGTATGTTTCCAGTCTGTCAAAAGTCAGGCAAGCAAAATGACAAATGTGGCTCTGAATTTAGGAATATTAAAACAAAATAATCCAATGGAAGTTGCTAAAAAAAAACCTTCAAAACATAAATAGTTCCTTGCACTATTTGCAACACAAATGTTGGAGTTTTGTACTAAAGCATGAAATACCCTCCATGAAACTGGCCTATCACTGGCACAAAATGAAACCGATCATCATGTTTCATGGTCCAAGTTAAGAAAAATATGGGAAACAGCACACAGCACAAAGAGTAACTTCTAAATGAGATTTAAAAAAATACATTCTGTTGTATGACTCTGGGTATTATTAGCCCAGTTGCTAAACACACTTAGGCCATGTCTATACCACCAGGTTATTTTGAAATAATAACTCCAAAATAAGCTCATTTCGAAATAAGCTCATTCCTCTTCACAAGCAGGAGTTGTTATTTTGCAATAACAGGCTGGGTAGTGTGGGTGCTTGCCTTGTTATTTCAAAATAACTCCCCAGTGTTGACATGCCCTGAGATCACTGGAGTGAATGTCTCCGGGGGAACTAACTGGGAGAATGCCCTTAGCAACATCTTCTGGACCATCCTTCTCCTCATTCCTCCTGCCCCCCGCCTCCCATGGGCTATAAATGCGGGGGTGAGGGGACAGATTTTCAAGAGAGCCCAACAGAGCGAGTTCTTTGGAAAATGTGACCCAGATTGTATAAGGTCAGCTTATGTCAGATATAGGAAAAATACTTCACAAAGTTTGACATCTCCAATGCATCCATCCGGCTATGTTTCATCTAGGTGAGCAGCTCTGCCAGCACACAGCCACAATCCGCAGCCCTGCAGCATGTGCAAATCAAATCCAAGAAATAGTACATAGGCCCTTATTTGATGGAGATGGTAAAATTACTAAGAATGTTGCAGGAAAGGCAGAAGTATTCCATAAATATTTCTGTTCTGTATTTGGAAAGGACAAGATGATATACTTATGAAGGACTTTCCAGTCCATTAATAACTAAGAAGTCTGTTAGAGAAAATCTACTAGAGATAAACATTTTTAAATTATCAAATGTGAATAACTTACACCCAAGAATTATAAAAGAGCTGACTGAGGAGAGCTCTGGACCATTGGTGTTAAATTTTTATAATCTTGGGATTTGGGGGAAATTCCAGAAGACTGGGACAGGGCCAATGTTATGCTAATATTCAAAAATGACAATTTGGATGACCTGGGTATCTGTAGGCCAATCAACATCGATCGTGGGCAATATAATGGAAAAAGTGATACAGGATTAAACTGAAAGCTAAGAAAATAATTAATGCCACTCAACATGGTTTATTTCAAAACAACTCTCGGCAAATGAACCTGATGTCATCTTTTGATGAGCTAACGGGTTTGGTTGATAAAAGTAAATGCATAAATGTAATATACTTTTGTAAGGCAGTTGACTTAGTACCACATGACATTCTGATTTAAAAATAGTATTTTATGATATCAATAGAGCATGTGTTAATTTAATTACAAAAAGGCTAAAACAGCAACGGTCAGTGAAGAATAAACTCTGAATGGGGGTGTTTCTAATGGGGCTCTGCAAAGACCAATGAGCTGGAAAGAAATACAAAGTTACTTCTGCTCAAATGTGTGGCTGACACAAGGATGGAGAAAGTGCTAACTAATGCTATGGATAGGACGCTCATTAGAGACCTCTCTGTACAACGTGGGGCCATTCACACAGAAGTGTTTTAACACACTCAGGTGCAAAGTTACACATCTAAAGAGAAGGAAAGCAAGTGCTACTGACAGCATGGGGGACTGCATTCTGGAAACAGCCTGAAAATAGACAACCAAAAGGAGCTAATGTGATCTCTGGCTGTCTGAAGAGGGGACTAGGGAGTAGGCGCAGGGAGGGGTCGTTACCTCTGACCATGCCATTGGTGGGATGGATAATGAAATAATGAGTCTAGTGCTGGGGTCCACATTTTAAAGAGGATGCTGAAAACTTGGCGAGGATGCAGAAAAGGGCCAAAAAAGATTTGAGGGTTGGAGAAAATACTGTACAGTGAGAGACTTAAAGCGCTCGGTCTGCTTAGCCAATCAAACAGATGACTGAAAGGTGACTTGATAGAGGTGTATGATTACCCTCATTGGGTGAAAATACCCCCATTAAAGGGCTGTTCCGTGCCACAGAGAAAGGCACAAGAACCAATGATGGCAAGATGAAGCCAGACACGTTCAGAATAGAAATGAAGCATGAAGTGTTAACGTGGGAGATTAACCTTTGGCGCAAACCACCAGAGAAGGGGAAATCCTTCCTCTCCTGTTGCCGGCACATCAAGACTGGAGGCTGACTGGAGAGAGACTCAGGTGTTAGGAGCCCGGGCTGTCCATGGGACTTCCACAGCCTCAGTGCTCAGGGTTATCGTGGAGTTATCGTGGATAGTTATCTTGGAGTTATCGTGGACAGTTCTCTGAAAACTTCCACGCAGTGTGCAGCGGTGGTCAAAAAGGCAAATAGGATGCTAGGAATTATTAAGAAAGGGGTAGAAAATAAGACCCAGAATATCTTACTGCCCCTGTATAAAACTATGGTACGCCCACATCTTGAATACTGTGTACAGATGTGGTCTCCTCACCTCAAAAAAGATATTTTGGCCTTGGAAAGGGTTCAGAAAAGGGCAACTAAAATGATCAGGGGTTTGGAACGGGTCCCATATGAAGAGAGGTTAAAGCAACTTGGACTTTTCAGTTTAGAAAAGAGGAGACTGAGGGGGGATATGATAGAGGTCTATAAAATCATGAGTGGTGTGGAGAGGGCGGATAAAGAAAAGTTATTTATTAGTTCCCATAATAGAAGAACTAGAGGACACCAAATGAAGTTAATGGGTAGCAGGTTTAAAACTAATAAAAGAAAGTTCTTCACACAGTATGTAGTTAATCTGTGGAACTCCTTGCCAGAGGAGGCTGTGAAGGCTAGGACTATAATAGAGTTTAAAGAGAAGCTAGATAATTTCATGGAGGTTAGGTCCATAAAAGGCTATTAGCCAGGGGATAAAATGGTGTCCTTGGCCTCTGTTTGTCAGAGGCTGGAGACAAATTGCTTGATCATTGTCTTCGGTCCACCCTCTCTGGGGCACCTGGTGCTGGCCACTGTCGGCAGACGGGTGCTACTGGGCTAGATGGACCTTTGGTCTGACCCAGTACGGCCACTCTTATGTTCTTATGGTTGCACCGCAGTGAATGGGGGGACATGATGCACACGGGAGCCTGCTGAGCTCCCCAGCCACACCACCTGGAGCAGCCACAAAGAGGTGGGTTTGAGTCCCGCCCACCCTGGGAGTCTGACAGTTTGGAAGGAGCTTTGGATTGGCAGCTGGAAGCTCCCGGCAGGAAAGACCTAAGCAATTTCTTACTACGACCAGCTGGTGTTTCCTCATAACTTTTAACCCAGGGCTTTGGATACACTCCCAGGACATGGGAGACCCCTGGCTCAAGTCCCCCTCAGCCCGAAGAGACGCAAGGTCTGAACAGGGATCAGCCACCTCTGGGCTGGGTGCTGGGCGAGGGGACAGTGGGATGTGGGGATAAATAGAATGACTCGGGTGCACGGGGGG